GGTGGTTTCTTGCCATTTGTTTAATTTGTTTAACAGAACAATGTAAAATTTGCAAATTCTAACCTCGTCTTACAAAGTTTGCATCACTTTGGTATAAATCATGTGCAAGAAGTTACAAGTTGTTTCACATCTTTTTATTCTGTGTACTTTCTCTGTTTTGTGATTATTATTTTTTTCGTGAGCACAGAATAGTTTTATCAGCAGCTCAGATCTTGGTGAACGAGGACGGATATAAAATAAAGAGAATGCAACCTAAACATTCTTTAAAGCGTGAGCTTCTATGACTTTAAATATATCCACACACCGTCCGCACAAACATTTCTGAAATCTTTTCCTGACGGCAGCGGAGTGACAGCAGCAGATACAAGACGTCTGTTCAGTGTCAGAGGTCAAAGGTTGAGCCTCGTGGCGAACATTAAGGCCATTTTTAGAGCCCATCATTGACAAGTGCTGCAGCAGCACGTTAAACCAAAGACCAGGGGGGAAAAAACACAATTTTGCACTTGAGAGCCTTGAAAAAAAGATAAAGCGTAACAAAAATAAAGATTTGCGTCACTGATTAACCCCAGAAAACAATTTTTAATCTCTAGAAGACAGAAAGCAGCACTTTTTAAATTCTGAGGTATCGACCGTTCGCGAACTAAAACCAGAAATCTTTACTGGTTCAAAGAGAAAAATCCTTTTTATTTTCTCTTGACGAGGAAAATCTCTGGTTAAAAGGTACTCGTTACAAAATATGGAATTAAAAAAAATAAAGTTATGAACTATGTCAGAGGGTGCAGATTGAAAGTTTACTCCAGTAGTTTTCCAGATGTGATTCTGTAACGTGGGTGCACTCAAGGTGAACGCTTCATCCGTATCTTTACTCAACAAATTGGAGCGTACCATGGTACAAAAACAAATCTATGTTGATGTTTTTTCTTTGTCGTTTGTCCTACAGGGCAGCCTGGAGTCATCTGTAAAATCTACCAGTATACAACCATCATCTTTACCTGCTTCTTCCTTTCTGGGTCATGGGGCGGTCACTGGTGTCCATATTCAGCAGTCACTGTTCAAGAGGCGGGGGACACCTCGGACAGGTCCCCAGTCCATGACAGGGACACTTAAACAACCATTCACTCTCTCACTCACACCTAGAGACAATTTAGAGTCACCAATCAGCCTAACATGCATGTTTTTGGTCTGTGGGAGGAAACCGGAGTACCTGGAGAAAACACGCACATGCACAGAGAGAGCAGGCCCCAGGCCGGGGTTTGATCCGGTAACCTTCTCTACTAACTGAGCCAATAATAAACTTTAAAAAAAATTATGAAAACAATAATTTTAATGATTCATAAGAAAATAGATAAAAAAAAACAAGCTCCGTATTACCTTTTTGGAAAAATGAGTGTTCTGTGCCACGTTTGTAAGGTCAAAGGTTATGCTGATAATGGCTTTCTGTTTGTTTTAGAATTTATTTTTAAGCTTATTGATGACATAAAATGCCCTGAATGGACAATTTCCTGAAGATGCGTCTGACCTGATCCTTCAGACCAGAACTGCTCAGGGGGCCAGAGTTCCTGAAAGCCAACAGCTCCGGGGCCGGACATCCAGAAAATCATTATGTAAATAAAACAAAGTTTACAATTATCTGTTAACTTTTAAATTTATTGTATTGCATTGAATCATAAATGCAATAAACAGAAGCCAAAACCCAAACCCCTCCCCAATACAATAAATAAATAATTATTTAATGAAGTGGGCTGGATTGCAGTCACCCGCGGGCGCCAGTTGAATAGCCCTGACCATTTGATTCAAGTGGTCCAGAGGTCCAAGCTGGTCCACAGAGGTGACCAGGTCTCCAGTTGTCCCGTAGAACCAGCTGTTCAGATCAGACAGACCTGAACTTTTGGTGTTTTGAAATATCACCCCTGGATTTAACACAGTTGACATGTTTTGCTTCATTTGTATGTTTTCTCCGTTTTGTGAAAATTTTAAGTTTTTTTTTTTTTTTTGTGTTTGTTATATTATTTTTTTTTACCATTTATTTTTTGCGACTAGCCACTGGCAGTTTTTAAAAACGGCATTTAAATAAATCTAGATAGATTTTTGTCCCAAAAATAAGTTTACAACAAAGGTTGAGGATTGTGAAAATAGGGTAATGTTTTAATTCTGCAGCCCTCGTTTGTTACATGATTCAGGAGAGAAATGTTCAAAAGGACCAAACCAGAATTTGTGAAAGTTTAAGCAAACAAAACATGAGCAAATAAAACATTTATTGCAAATAATCTTTCAATAGATGTGGATATTGCCCTTAGTATACATATCCAGTATATAAAAACTAACCCTTTCACGGAAAAGTGCAACAAAAGTCCCAAATATCACAAAACACAATAAATGTGATGTAAAGTTCATGTGATTTGCAGTAAATCAAATTAACAATAACTCCACTGGTGCAGTCCGTTAAAGGCGGTTTAATGCCCGTCTAAATGGCTTGTTTTTTAGTTTTAGGGTGCAACGTTCGAGATATGCTCACAGGTGCACGTAAAGTCATGAAAACATCAGTGGATCTTCTCTGAATCAACGTTTCTGGTGTAAAAACTGGCAAACTAAACTCCGTTTCCACATAAAATTAGTTTTCCTCACAATTTAGATCATAGAAGACATGCATATATGCAAAACACATGGATTAAGACAACACCTGTGTTATATTGCATCTTAATATTTTGTGTATTTACAATATTTTATGACACTTTGTGCAGCATTCAAAATGCTGCTCATAAAATATTTGATATTTTGAGTGAATCATGAGAAATCTGCTCTGAACTTCCTGCTGCTGCTCACAAACCGCATCGTCATGTTAGCGAGTTGGGGTAAAAAGGTCGTAGAGGTGGTTTCTCATCAGGCTGCCACTGTTCAGGGCGACTTTATGGCTCAAAATTGCAAGAAAATAGGCAATTTTTTTGTTGCGGTCTCACTGAATTACAAATGTTAGTGACCAGGAAGCTGCGCGGGTACATTTTCCAAGACAAACTATATCAAACAAATTGTTTGAACAAACTTACTCCAGCAGTTTTACTGATATATTCGATATGCAATTCTAAAATGGGAGTATGGACTCAACGTAAACAAAGCACTTGGCTGAATCTGCTCAAAAGACTCGAGTCACACAATTAACCTCCATCAAGTGCATCATTGGTAAACAAATGGAGTAAAATCAGACTTGTAGAAGTTCAGAAAACACATTAAGGCGGAAATACAAAAGTGAATTTGTAGATAACAGCAAACAGAAAGACCGAGTTAGACAACTTTCAATAATACCGTATTTTCCAGCGTATAAGTCGCATCAGTAAAAAAAAAAGCATCACGAAGAGGGAAAAAAACATAATTAAATCGTTTCAGTGTATAAGTCGCATTTATTATGCATCACCGCTGACCCGTTGCGTTTATTATGAGTTTATTTAATGGTCAAAACAGCTTCATTTCGCCTGGGCGGCACCCTCCATCCATTCATTGGGGCCGGAGCTGCTAGCTCGCCAGCGTTGCTCCACTTGCACCAGCTGAGTGAAGCGAGAGTGCACGGGAGGACTCGCTGTTGCAGTTCTTCAAAATTTAAAGCGTCAGTCAAAAATTGCATTATGAATACGAAAGAAGAAAAAAAAAGGTATATAATTCACTTTGGGGTACAAGTCGCAGGACTGATAAATCTATGTAAAAAAAAACAACTATGACTTATACGCCGGAAAATACGGTAAATACCAATGATCAAGGTGGAGCAGCATCAACATCGAGCTCAGCGTTCAAACACTCGCGTTTTGTGCCAAACTTCTGCTAGACCGGTAAGTTTACCATGTCAAAGCCTTTTCACTTCGAGTCTAACGCTAACAAACTTTACTCAACAAATGTGCACATAGGATGTACTAATGCATCAAACCGGTTTGATTCCTTGATCCCAAACGGTTTCGTGAATGTTGCCATCGTTGACATATTTTCAGTCACTTCAGGTGTTTTCACAGGTAAACAAATGAACACAGAAGATGGCGGCTGGTCACAAATTTTTGCTTATCAATCCTAAATTTAAAGACACATTAACCATAGATAATATAAAAAAAAGTGAATTTTTGTTATTTTGTTCAGCTTTTTTGGAGGATTCTTCATAACAAGTACCTTTAATCTACTGGAGTACACTTTTAAAATGAAAATAGGCAGATTTGGACTTGTTTTTTTTAAATAAATATTGTTTATCATCAATGCGGATTTTAAACCTGAGGGGAGCTCCTGCGCTGCGTCAGAAATACAACGAAACTCAAGATGCTCACAACAGTTTCCTTGAATTCTTTTTAGAGAAAATTTATCAAACATGTAATTTCAGCTACAAGACTGAAAGTCTCTGCAACTCTCAGGAACGCAGCGAGACATTTGGAGACTCTCACAAATGCTGTTTAGCCGACTAGCCACAGCCCAGAGGGACACCACCTTAGATGTGTTTTGGAGGCGACAGTCTGACGAAGGCGCGTCACTCGGCTCATTTGAGGTTTTGCAGCTTTGACACTTGATCTAAGAGGCTGACGAGTGAAATCACTTGGATGCTACAAACTGCGCAGCTTCTTCACCATTTCCATTCCATCACAAAAGGTAAGGTACATGAAGAAAGGCACCTCAACACCGTTTTTGTGTTTAACAAACGAGACTGAACCAAGAATGTGGCAGGAACAACAACAACAAAAAGTTTAAAAAAGGCTCGGCTCTTCCTTTGTAACGAGGAACCAGGCAGAGTCCGTTTGCTCCTGTGTGTCCGAACGTCTTCGTATCAAGCCAGAAACACGACTGGTTTGAGTTTTCTGATTATGACAGGGGTCAGTAACTCTTTCAGGACTTTGATGCATCCCTGGTGTCCAAACAGTCAGATGTTTACAGTATTTACACACACACAAAAAGATAAATTACTTTTTGATAATTAGTCGTGAAAGCATGGGATGGGTGGATGCAAACGTCTCTGGACAGTATAAGATGCTGGCGATTGTTTTAAAACATTTTAACTCGTCATATTTTTGTTGTTGTTGGGACTCAAGGGAATAAAGAAGGTTACCTCTGGTTTGATTGGCTTCACAACCATCTCGCCGTAAAAGAAACTTTTATTTTGGCGCTAAAACACATAAATAAAATCAAACAAAACTCCCAGGAGGCAGCTGGTTGTGGTCAGACACACAGACCATGAGTTCCTGAGGGGCATGATATCCGGGGCTGTGTACGACCGTGCGTGCGCGTGTGTGTGTTTTGTCTAGAACGGTGTGTAGTCTGCAGGGTACATGACTGGGAGCCAGTTCTCGCTGAAGGCGGAGCAGTGCGTCCATCCCAGGTGTCGCATGAGCTGAAAAAACAAAACACAGGTGATTTCAGCAACGGGAAGGTGAAGAACAACGCTCACGACACGGAGCAAGTACCGTACCTGGATGCAGTTCTTCATGTTCTCTTTGCTCGGCTTCTCCTCGACCATCTTGGAGGCGTACTTTAAGGCTCGGCCGAACATCTTGTTCGCCACGGCGTGTTTGTATGAAAACATTAAAACCTTAACGAGGGGGGGAAAAGGGTGGAAAAATTTTTTTTTTCAGTTATTACATCTAAATGATCTAGTATCATTATCTAAATTGATTTATTTGTGCAAATAAAACAAGACAAAAAAAAAAAATATATATATATATATATATGTATATGTATATATATATATATATATATATATATATATACACACACACACACAGTATACACACCATACAACGCAGCACATACCATTAACTCTCAATTCGTTTTAAAACATATATTCCCATCAGAATACTCCACTACTGACAGTCATGTTTTTCTGACTGTTTTCAGAGTTTTTGTACCTTCAGCCATTTTAACCATTTAGATATAAAAACTTCATGGCTACTGCATTCAAACTTCACCTAAATCTAAATTTAGATATCAAAACAGTCAATTCAGGAGATGGTTAGTATGACTGATGGTATTTGTAACGTTTATACTTCTTCAAAATATTTACAGGTTATCTTTTTTTCAAACTTTAGGATTTATTGAAAAAAAAACCCCATCATATTTTAAGTTTTAATGTTTTATTTTTGCTCTGAGATGTGCTAGATTTCGCTTTCAGCTACGGAGGTTCTAATTGTAGCTTTTAGCTTCGGTTTTTATAATCTTGTGTTTTAGCTACCGTTTAGCCAAGTATTTATGCTTTTGGATAGTTATTTTCTAATTTAGACTTTTAGTTGCTGTATTGCAAATTTTAGCTGTTTTGCTCATTTTAAGATGAAGTTACGCTTTTTTTGTGTGCGCTAATTTTGGCCACTGTTTAGCTATTATTTTAGGTTTTAGATACATTTTAGCTAATTGTAGCTATTACCAGCTGTATTGCTTCTTTTAGCTTGTAATACTGTTTTTCTAAGCTTAGATTTTAATACTTTTACTTTTTGCTAATTTTAGCTTTTAGCAATTGTTTAGCTAATTTTAAGTTTTAGCTACCATTTAGCCAATTTTCTTGCTTTTAGCTACTGTTTTGCTCATTTTAGGGTTCAGCCACAGTTTTGCCAATTTCATCTTTTAGCTGCTGTATTGTTCATTATAGTTTAAAAAACATTTTTTGTTGATTTTAGCTATGGTTTAGCTAATTTGAGCTTTTAACAAATGTTTTACTGACTTTAGCTTTTAGTTGTGATTTTGCTCATTTTTGCTTCTGTTCTGCTTGTTCAAACTTTGACACTTCAGTTTTAGCTTCTTCAACACATTTCAGCTGTCTCAGCATTCAGACTGAAATAAAAGTGTTCTAAATGTTGTCACCTTGGAGTCAGTTAGCTCCGCCCACTTCTGCACCTCCCAGAAAGTATCTGTGAGGGTTTTCGCCACGTTCTGCAGGACGTCGTCAGAACTGACGAACATCTGCTCTCCAGCTTCCTCCGCTGCCGTTTGTCCCGTAGCGTTGGCGTCGTCCTGCGCCGTGGGGGGCACCAGGAGCTGGTCGGCCAGAGCGCAGCCTTTCCTGCACAGGGCGTCCAGAAGAGATGACTTCTGCTTCTCCATGTCCCTGAAAGACCGGAGGCTCATTCATCAGTCCACATTTCTGCCTAAATCAAATTATGGCTTCATCTAGAGCTTAGTTCCAACGTCACAAACATTTCTGCACCAAGAACGTCTCTGTGGTACATACGTCTTGATAGAGGCGGCCTCTGGTCGAGGGTCCGTCTTCATGCTGAGGTAAACAGCCAAGGCGGTTTGATCGATGTGGGAGATGACGATGTCTGCTGCCGACACCACCTCTTTGAGACGTTTCACGCGCTCCTTCACACACAAAAAAAGTGCAAAACTGTGAACAAACACGTTTTTTTATTTCAATTTTAAGTTATAATCCTGGCAGTTTACCTTCTCTGAGTCCAGCTGGTGCAGTCTTTGCACGTGCAGTGGAAGGAAGTCTGAGAAGTTGTCCACCAGCTCATCATAGACGGTGCTGGAGTCCAACCTGAGGAACCGAGCAGGCAGATTAGTTAGTAAGAAATTAAGTTGAAAGGTGAAAAACTAAAGGATCTAATAAATAAATCCTGAGAAAAACTGAGCTCACTTCGTCATCCACTGAATCTTCAGATCTCTCAAGGCCTCTGCAAACTCGTCTTTCACGTCCTTCTCTTTGTCTCCGTCTTTGTCCTTCTCCTTTCCACCATTCTTCGACTTGTTGGGAGCAGGAATTAGGTGGTAGATGACTGAAACAGTATCCTAGGTAGACACAAACAAACGCACAAAAGAACAAGTCGATGAAAGAACATTGTTGATTAAACTAATCCCAAATTCAGCATCTCAAAGGCTCACTCTTTTCCCTCCATTGTCATAACTTAACACCACAAAACTCTGAGGTTTTGCTCCTTAAATAAGTTAAAAAATATAAGTTTTATTACCCAGTTCTAAGGTTTAAAACGGTAATTTAAAGAAATGCAAGACCTGACCACCAGATAACACAATACTACACCATAAAAACAAGTATTTGGTAATTTCAGAACAGAAATATTGACATGCTTTGACATTAAAAACACAGATGAATTAAAGTAAATAATAATCAGCCAATTCCTGATGGAAGGAGAGCAGTGGGCGCTCTGTTGTTTGGTGTTTCTAGCTCATCCAGTACCTTTTGAAACTTTCTTTGCCGTTTTGCAGAAGCCTGCCCCTGGTGGTCAAAATAACACACAGTAAGGAAGAGACAAGAAAAACACCAGCCATAAAGGATTCGCTCTGTCTTCATTTGGTTAGGTCTGATTCAGAAAGTCTGAGTCGATTCATTCACCTGGTACTGACACAACAATGTACAGTCATCAACATCTGTATTGTAATACGTGCTGCTTGTTATTATGACAGCTAACAAATCTCGTTTGTTTTTTTGTTGTTGTTGACTTTAATGCATTGGGGGCATAAGGACGACCACAAACAAACAGCTATGGATGAGGTGTGAAGATGAGACAAAATAAATAAAGAAAGAAATAATCACGTGTTTGTTCTGAACATAAAACATGGAAGTGAGCAAATAAAGATCCAGTTTTGTTGTTGATGTTTTCATTATGCATCTCCCTGAGCTGTGTTTGCAGACATTCGAGGGAGTCTCCAAATATCTCCAAACATTTGCGAGGTCTCTGTTTCCTCACGTGAGCCACAAAGGCACTTGAGGTCTCGTCACTTGAGTTTTGAACATGTTCAGGAAATTTGTGTGGCGATGGAGTTGAAGCAAGCACCTCAAACCCAATTAACACCTTAACTGGTGGTTTACTCCTAACTTGGATTTCAATGCAGAGCCTCACTGTATTCCTCCATTTAGTTTTTATAAATTCTAGAGCACTAAAGTTGTAGTTTGACATCTGCTAGGAGTTCTCCTCCGTCAGGAAACATGTACAGGTCAATAAATAAATAAATGTCATGTCTAGGCCTGTCACGATAACAAATTTTGCTGGGCGATTAATTGTCTCAGAAATTATTGCGATAAACAATAATATTGTTTGAGAAGAAATGTTGGTTAATGTTTGTGTGTAGTACTTGTTTTGACCACTGGATGGCAGAATAAGACTGTTTGAACCGAAGGATGGATTATGAGGGAGCGAGCAGCGTGTCTCTTTAAGAAAAATGGCAGGGAGGCCCCTTGACGTGACATGGGCGGTCTCTCATTCCTGTTTTTCCGTTCTCAAAATGGCGGACTCTCTGTGTGGTTTGAACTCTTTAACATAGCATTTTTTATATAAAGCTTTTAATAAAAAAAAAAATAAAATCAGTAAACAAGTTCTCAGCTTCTTTTTGCAGAGAAAAATAACTTTTTAGATGAAGGCACGGGTTTCAACCGTGAATTTTGGAGCTTTGACAAGACGGAGGTTTTTTCCTCAAAGACAGCTTGTTAGCTTAGCCCGTAGCTTAGCTTCTCAGTTTAGCTGCTTTGGAGTTGAGCTTTGTCATCCAGTGTCTTCAGTAGAACGAGAAAGACACGAAGAAACGATAAAACCGATAAATGGAAATGAGGTTGATAATTTTCATTTATCAAGCGATTAATTGATTTATTGTTTATCGCGGCAGGACTAATCACGTCCTTCACTTTGTCTTTGTCTTTCTCCTTCCACCATTCTGCAATGAAAAGTGAACTCCAGTTAATTAAATATAATGCACCTGGAAATGAGTTCTGAGAGCTAATCTTGAAATTAGACAGAAAGGCGCTATATAAGTACAGTCCATTTACCATTTAGCTACAATCTGGTACAAATCCTTTGTGATACACGGTCCCTGTTCGGTGAATTAGAGTTCAGTTGAAACTGCAACGGAAATTTTATTTTATTTTCCCCTCTCAATTTTAAATCTCCAACTTATCTCAAACAGTTGCAGCACAGTGAGATACTGACTTGAGTTGGTAAATATGTGGTTAGAGGCCAAAACATTTTTTGGTTCATTAGAACTAATAATCAAGCGGTTTGTCAATCGATTGTTTTTCCTCACTCGGCATTAACCTTCTTCCGGACATGTTTTCTCAATTTTAGACTGACGTAAACAAACAGGTTATTACCTACACCACATTCAACCTGTTGTGAGCCACAAACAAGAATCGTTTCATCAAACTGGTGTTGCAAAAAACATGAAAATTCATAAAAATTCAGTTCATAATTTCAGTTTAAGTTCAGATAAATTCAGTTTCATAATTAATATCTGTCTGAGTCATGAAGATATAGTATTTTGACAGATTTTTTTTTTTTTTTAAACAAATTCATTTCAAACCCATAGGTTTTATTAAACTGAATCTGATTTGTTTACATTAAAAAATCCAGAAAATTATCTTCAGAACGTTTGTCTTTTCAGGTGTGAAAAAAATCCCACTCCAGTTAGGGATGAGCATTTTAGGCAAACGATAATATATATATTTTTAAACTCGTATTTGTAGGCAATGATTAGATTTTTCTTGGAATGTCCAACTTTCTTGTTCCATATAATCAGGAGGGGATTTTTATCTTAATAGTCCTTCATTTTCACCTGTCTACGGGGAACAGGGACAGTAAACCTGAGGTCACCCGTGACCACAGTTTCCACTTGATAATCCTTTCAAAATAAAGGCAGAAAGATGCTAGGGACACAGAGTTGTTCCTCACCCTCTTTTTTCTCCTCTTTGAAAGGGTGGGTGGACGTTATGCTGAAAAAAGCATCTTGACTGGAAAAGCACGAAAAATAACTTGGCACATTACAACCAGGTTCCATTCTTTAAAAGAAAAGTCCTGACAGTTGCACCAATTTATCAAAATTTTCCATTTTAACTAGATTGTATATATTTATTTTTAATTACTGCTCATTCTTAATTTCTTCTCCTTCCAACCAAATGAAAACAAACGACCTCCTGGACCAACGAGGCTAAAGCTTTGCCACAGCGCTACACAGTGTGTCCTGATGCATGCTCAATAATCAGGTAGATCAATCCAACTACAACAGTCAGGTCCTCTGGACAAGTTCTCCAGAGAGCGCTCCACAAAGATCTCTTTCAAAAAACCGCAGCAGAAATTAACTTAAGAGTTGCTGAACAAAGTTTTCTTTTGGCAATACAATCGATTGAGTCTATTCATACGATTACCAGAAGAAAAAAAAATCGTAATAGAAAGCCCGACACTCCCTCGCATGTGCATCGGGTGAGCAAGAACGCAGGCCAGGGCACATCTGTATTTATGCTACAATGTAGATTCAGATTCAGGACTAAACGCGTTCAAACGTGGTCTGTGATCAACAGCCACATCCCAACACCAAAAACACGTTAATGCCAGGTGTAAACAGACATTCAGTGCTTTACTGAACAGATGGAGCCAGATTTGAAGCAGTAACATCTGGCAATTTTCTCATCTAGTTGTTTTTCTGGACTAAGGCACAAGCAAACATAAAAACATAAAAAATGAGAACGAAAAATGTGTTAATTTATGAGGCAACAAATCAAACTGATCAGTCTGATTCTGCAGTACGACTGAAAAAAGCAGACAGAAACTGATCAGCTCTCAAACTAAGGATCTTTTTTTAACTTCTGGGATCAGATATTCAAACAAATAGGTTATTAAGTGCAAACTTTATCCTTTGGTTTGTTAGATTAAAGGTAAATTCCAGCATGACAATGTCCTGAAGAGGAGAACTGACCGGTGAAGGTGCAAATGTAAAAAAATTTTTAAAAAGTTACTCACAGCTTTCTTGCCATACTCGCTTTTCGGCACAACAAGAGATCCTAAAAGGTAGCATCCTGGACTGGTTCCTTTAGGGATCCTAAAACAGTGGACAGACAGAAAGTAGCAACAAAAATATGTCTCAGTTCCAAAAATTCAGTTTCTTTACCAGAATACTTAACATTCAAGAACCACAGTGAAGTGTACTGAGCAGGTAAACATAAGTATTTAAGTATTTTAAGTATGTATAAGTAGTAAGTAGGTTTTATTTTTTTATAAGTATTTTTTGAATTGAATTGTACTTTTTTAATTTTTTTTATTACAGTTTTGTCTTTGGTTTGGTCAGTGAATTACATAAAAGGAAAATTTATTATATTTGTTCTACAAACCGGATTCCAAAAAAGTTGGGACACTAAACAAATTGTGAATGAAAACTGAATGCAATGATGTGGAGGCACCAACATCTAATATTTTATTCAGAATAGAACACAAATCACAGATCAAAAGTTTAAACTGAGAGAATTTATCATTTTAAGGGAAAAATCTGTTGTTTCCAAATTTCATGGCGTCAACAAATCCCAAAAAAGTTGGGACAAGTCCATTTTTACCACTGTGTGGCATCCCCCCTTCTTCTTCCAACACTCAACAGACGTCTGGGGACAGAGGAGACCAGTTTCTCAAGTTTAGAAATAGGAATGCTCTCCCA